GAGTGTGATAGTGATACGAACTATCAAACTAGATATGGACGTAAAACTGTAAAACCTGTTACATAATTTTAAATTGTTAATTTTTCATATTTGTGAAAGTTGTACTTGAACTATTGTTTGATTATTGATAAATTTTGTTTTGATTTTCCCATCTCATCATTGTAAAATGAAAAGAATCCTCCCACCTTTTGATTTTACATGAAATTTTATTTTTTATTTTACATTTGATGTTCTTGCCACTAGATGGCGGATATTCTTCCCATTTTTTTGCTCTAACTGAGATCTGAGAGAGACTGTAGCGTGAGAACGGAAGCAAAAGATGAACGCTGTTTAGAGTATTTGTAATTGAGCTCCTTCTAACAATCACATTCTTAGTAAATATTTGTAAATACTAATAAATAGTGTTGTGTCTGTTTAAAAGAAGCTTCCTATTTTTAGTCTTATGAGTTCATATAAGAAATCCTCTCAGCCAAGAAGAACAACAAAAGGCAAGTTTACCTTTTCGACATCTTTTATTTGACCTTCTAAAATAACAAAAGGTATTTCCGGAAAAATGAAGACTGCATCAGTTTACAGCATGTCTTGGATTTGCAGCGAAAGATGATGAAATGCCCTATCTGTGGTGATTTGTTTTGCTATACCAGACAATACAAGAAATTAAACTGTTTTAGTTTAATAGTCGAGTAGAATTAAGTCACCTATATATGGATTAATATTCACAGTCTCAGGAGATAATCCATGCTTATATCTCTAAGCAATCTAACCGCACAGTGAACAAACATAGAAAGGAGAATACATCACTTTTATTTCTGTGAATATTCACTATTCACAATTTCTTTTATGCTTGTGAAGGAAAATGTCGCTGAATGAAGGATATTGTCTGAATGTTACCGCTAAGGTGCAAAAGTCGTTAATGTGCAGTCGTTAGTCGAAAGTCGTTAATAATTACCCAGAAAATCTGCAGATTATCTGATTTGCTCCGTTAAAGTGCAGAATCAAGAGATTTCCTCATGTAAGTAGGTAATGTGCACATTAACGGTTTCCGTATTGTTAAGATCTTTGCTGAAACAACAGCAACGTTTCTGTACGCTTAAATTAACAATAATGTTATTTATTTTTTGATATAAAAAATAAAGTTTATACAATAAAACAATCAACAAATTAGTTAATAGAATCAACCATCAGTCAATTAAAAAACTATAATGCAAAGAATAAAAAGCTTTAAAATATAACTACAATTAATGAAATGAATTGGCAAAACATATTATAAAATTATGCTCACGTATTAGTGCAATCTAACGGTTAGTGACACTTTGAATTACATAGGAACTAGATTTTGCGACAAGCACACCTATTTGTGGTACATTTAGCTTTACAATTACAAATATAATACAGTAAAATTTTCTGAAACCCTTACCGATCAACAAGTTAAAAGCATCGCTGTTTTAAGCTTGCAGAAACGTTGTTGTTGTTGTTCTAGCAAAGATCTTGTTTTCGCTTGAACAAGTGCCTAGTAGGTAATGTGTAAGTAGTATAGATAATTTGTAGATTACCTAGGTAGTTTAGAAATGAAACCATTTTTTTCACTTTAACGGATCCTGCAGAATAACCGATTTCCGCACTTTAGCGGTAACACGAACACTAATAAGCAGGATGATTTACAATATGTATACTAAAACTTTCTTCTTTAGTGAGGCCTTTCCAGGCTGTTCTACTCGTTTACTTAGTGTTTCAGATAATGATTATGATGATCTTGTCCACTATTTGCCTTATACTAAAGATTTGTTCATCAGTGAACCCGCCTTTACAGAAGCCACACTAATAGTCGCCAATTATATTATCTATATAAACAATCAATATGTTATAAAAATATTAGATAATAATTTACAAAATGCGCAGAGTAAAACCTATACCTCGATAATTTGAGAATTCCAAGGTATCTGCCTTTTGTATGAACCAGACAGATGGTACTAAGTCTCCATTATTTTGGTATTACTTCCTTCCTTGTTTCTAATAAATTCTATTAAATGTTGCAATTTCTTTACAGTGTCTCTACAGTTAAAATTTTAAATATGTGTTATTTTAGATCCATTGTACACTATGTCCACAAAAAGTCTTCACCCGGCTTTTATTTTTGCCACCGTTGGTCATAGATATATATTTCCAGCTACAGGTGGTAGGTGACGGAGGACAGGGACACTTGGTGTCCAACAAAGGTAAGCAGGTATATGTCCCACTGTGTCCACTATCTTAAAGCAGCAGCTCCCGAGACCCAGGAGGCCTGCCTCGCTAATCTATTCGATTCTCTGTGAAGTCGTATGAAAAAACTGGCACCTGGATGATGTTACATGAATGCATTAGCTGCATGAATATATAAGCATTAGCTGTTAGAATGCATTGATGATGCTCTTGGGTGCACTTTGCCGCAATTCTTACATACATCAAATACCAATAAGAATACTAATAATTTTTAAATACATCAAATACTTGCAATACTACACTAGTATAATCCGTCAAATTAGATACTTTAATACATTGGATACGTGATTAAGTTACATGGGTACATTGGCTATGTACTTGAGAGCTTGATTACAGTAAGACACTTGAATACATTAAACCTGCTTACATTCATTATTTCAGAATTTGCGTACATACATGCGTTAATATAATAGATACATGATTATGTTATATGAGTACTGTTTATATACTTGAATACTCGATTGAAATAGAGACACTTGATTAGTTGATTGTATTATCCTATATACATTCATTATATGAGTACTTGAGTACGGTTGCTGACACTAATATATGCATATATACAATAATTATTGGATACATTAAGTACTTATGTATCATAGTTTACAATAATAACATAAATTCATATAAAAACTTCCAGCTACAAAAAGAAAAAAAATGACACAAGGATTCATGTTTTAATGTTTTGAAATTAAAATATCTGATGTGGACCGCATGACTTTCTTGCACGGCCTGGTGAATAACACACATTTTAGTTTAGTTACACAGATAACATTTGAAAGTCAAATATATCCCTATTCTAACGGTTTTTGGATAATGGAAACTGCTTGATTAATGAGTATTTTTTATCATATCACTAAGTAGTATTGTTTCCTAGCACATTGTGGTTACTGATGAGAGATACTAAGCAATAACTGAAGATTGCTCTTCTCAACCATTGTAAGAAGATCAAAAGCTATTCTACCCTAAAAGTCTCAAAAGCAAGTTTATCTTACACTCAAAGGAAGTGATATCACCGAGTAAAGGCTATGTGCCAAAATCATCCCTCATTTTTTTCGGGGATGTGATCATACTATAAGAATAATCTTACACTAGAATAGAGATTTAATGGAAACACGTGAAACTGTACAATGAAAGTAACTACTATGGTCAATGAACACGATCTACTATGCTCAATGAATACTTGTTAAAATAAGCACTTGCATTACGACAAATCATAAGGATAAGTGCAATAAGTTGACCATATGTGATTCAACATCAAAAAGTTTAGTTCGTTCAGTTTCCCAATTCTAGAACATCTTCAACCATGATTCAGCAGCTTATCGAGTAGATGAAGATTAGATATGCTCTGGATATATATATATAAGAAAAATAAAAAAAGAAAGGTTTCAGATTTTAAATCGCGTCCAAAGGGGCGTTTTTTTAACGTTATGTGTGTTACCTTTATTTATTAAATAGCATGTTTTTTGCACTTAAACCATAAAATCCGGTTCAACAGCAATGTCGCAAAATAATTTTAAAATGAACATATTTTAAGAAGTTCCCATACACAATTCGGCGCGATGGAGATAGAAAGGTATTTCCGTAGAGTGTTGCCATTGCTCGCTTTGAAATCGTCGAGTTTGTTAATCAAAAATTAGTTAAAGTTTTACAAAATATGAAATCGATAATGAAACAAATTCTAAATTTGGGACTTTCCAGATGCCCATATTCGCAGTAGGATTACGTCATTCAAAATTCCATGGCTCTAGGTACCGTTGTTTTATGACAATGCGAGAAACATATATACATTTATGCAGATTCTTCATTATTTAATTTCTTCAAATATAATATAGGGCGATAGTAGTTGGTGGCAACGATTTGAAAAGTGATAACAGCTTTTAAAATTTTCAACAAAAATTGCAAAAACGAAAACAATAGTCATCCAGGAACAAAGCCGCTTTGGACTAATAATTACATTTTCCTAACAGGTTAATTATGTTAATCGGTTGACAGTGTTATATACATGTCTACATTACATACATACATGGACAGTTTCAGATTTCACATTACTCACAAAAGGGCGTTTTTTTCATTTACAGATACATACACATTTCGAGAGCATTTGGGCTAACGCCACTTTGGGCTCAAAATATTTAAAAACAGCATAGCTTTAGAATTTCTAATGGACAGTCTCGGGCGCTATAATAGATAATATTGTTTCATTTCCAAAGTGTTGTCACTGCTGGCTTTGAAATTGTTCCGTTTCTTTAATAAAATTTCATTAAAATTTTGCAAAATACGAAATAGACAATAAAACAAATTCTAAATTCCAAATTCGGACTTCCAGGTGCTCATATTCGGGTGGAGGGTTACATTATTCAAAATTACCTCTCTAGGTATCGTTGTTTTTTTACAAATACATTCGTTTACGCAGATTATTTATTACTTAATTTCTTTAAATATAATACAGGAGGCTAATATTTGATGGCAACACTTTGAAAAGTGATTCAACGCAAAATCCCGTTTTGGGACTATTAGGCTTTCTTGGCTGACGCCATTTGGTCTAAAAATACTTAAGTAATTCCCATCTTACCACTATACAGAGGCAAGTATATTAATGATATTTTTGAGAGATAAAATTTTGTGTAGAACAGGAATGGTAAATTCGCCCGTAAAATGCAGTACAATTATGTATTTAATTGTATATACTACAGTACAGATTAGAAAATGATATATATCATGTTAAAAATGTAGTTGCTTACCATTATATTATTAATAACTTTTGCATAATCTTCGAGAAATATTTTGTTACGGTTTTCCTTTGCTTTACTTTTTTGAACGGCCAAGGCAAGGATTTTGTTAGTCTTTTGAAGTTCCTTAATTGCACGTAGGTAAGAGCCTAAAATTAAATGAAAATTTACAGATTAATATTTTGCTAAACGTGCCCAATATTTTGATGAAATTTATCACATATAACACGAAAGTTTATTTTATATTGTGAAAACATTAATCCCACACGCATTTGAGGTTTAAAAAATTATCTATTTTAATGAGTTTCCTTAGCTATAATGAATTCTTTTAGGCACCTTAAATCAACGACTATTGATTTGTTCTTGGTTTATTTTATTGAATATGGCAAATATCTGCTTAACACAGGAATGCTTTTTTGGAGAACTTTCTAGAGAAAACTGGCTTTTATTTAAATATTACATGTCGGAAAAACTGCTCCGTTCTCTAAGATACTAAAATTACTAAGAGGACAGCACTGAAAAAGTCTAGAAGCTCATTTGTTTGCTAAAGTTTAAGATTATACAAAATAAGACTGGTTTCAACAATTCAGTCTTGAATTGAAATTTTGAGCAGACATAAATAAAATGTGTAAGTAAGTATTTCTCATATTGTTGACACTTATTTACTTAATTTAGAAGTCAAACAAAAAAACATCAGCGTTATATTTTCAAATTTTTACAGGACTATTTCGATGGTTTTACCAAACCATAATCCTCAGGTGCCAAAGCGCAAAAGAACGAGATAAGATGTAGTGATTAAATAAGATAAGAATGGTTGGATAGGAGTTAAGCTAGTAACGCCGTCTATTGGTGAAACGAGAACTTAAACATAAATAATTTCCTTAAAGGCTGAAGAGAAAGATGAATTAAAAAGGGTTAATTAGGGTCGTTAACTAGAACAGAAAGATTTTTTGAATGTGAAACCCCTCTAGAAAATCTAATTCACCAATGGAAGATGTTGTTTATATAATTTTGGCTACAGAAAAATTGAAAGTGTTTCGAACCAACAATGCTGGGCAACAGAGGACTTCTACGTTTCCTTTTTCTAACATGTGCCTCATGTTCCTTAACGCGTAATTTTAATACTCTCATAGTTTGAACAGTGTAAATTAAACCACACTATAAATACCCAAAGAATTCATATCCGGAATGGGGGCTTTGAGTATGTAACTCGGAATTTTATTGATAGGAGAATAAATGACTCGAGAGTTAAATTTCTGTAAATACGGACAATTTGAGACCTAATTGATGGAAAGGAAGAAATGACAACAGAATTCTACTAAAACAAGAGTATGCATTTTGGTGTGCCTAGATGAGACTTTTTTAACTGCTTGATTAATAATGTTGAGTCAACAGCCCCTGCTAATAGCTCCTGCTTTTAAGTAATTTAGTTTTTGATCAAGAGCCAATTTAAAAATATAGGAATAAAATGAAGCTAATTTTTGTTTAGTCGGATGACATGATTTGAAGTGTGGTGGAAGGCAAACCGATCAAGGTTTACGGTAATCCGTAGTACTGAAGTTGAATGTGCTACGTGTGACCAAAATGTGGAGGAACGGAAGAGAATTGCATGTCTCAAGTTCAAAAGTGAGTTGAATAACAGGATCAATTGAATTCATTGCTGAAAAACCTTTATTTAAATCATCTTTATTACCGTCAAACAGGGAAAAAGTATCGCCTACGTAGCGGAATCATACCGGGAAGTTTAAATTGTGAAATAATTTTGATTCATTATAATGTATGTAGATATCAGCTAGGATGAGACTGAGGGGGCTTCCCATGACTAATCCCTCAGCTTGCTTGCAATACTTATTTTAGAAAACAAAATACGTGTGTTTCAAATAGAGTTTTGAGTGAGGGAAAGGTAGCTAAGGTAGCTTTGGTAGCGAAGGATGATGGTTCGGTAAAACCATCGAAACTAGTCTTTTAAAAGTGTGCAAATATAACACTGATTTTGTTGTTTGACTTCTAAATTAATACTCGTTCGGCATGTTATTTTATCTTACTTATTTACTTACTTACCACCTGCCGAGTAGCTGTACCGCCTGTTATATGATTATCAGCATTTGTACTCAATTGCTGGAGCATTCTGTTGTCGAATTTATAAAGTTACTTCGGAAGATAGGTACTTGTGACCTGTGGTTATTAAAGAAATCCTGGGAGTTCTGAATGAGGATTTTAGCAATGTTTTATGCATTAAGATTTTGAGTTGACAGAGAATGTTTATTCTAGAAATCAGTGGTAGCTTGGATATAAGAAGTTATTCAGATGCATTTATACTGTACAAAATCAACTGGGTATATTAATGTACATCATATGTGCTGTTCACATATTTTTAGAATTCCTATGTAATATTTGTTTGCCACATGAATAGTAGTCACTTGACGCTAGCGAATGTTTACCAAGCCTTTTTGAGCTCAGTTAAAAATTACCCGGGAAATATGATGGAAATTTAGGTAAAAATAGCTATAACACCGATGTGCACAATCATAACAGTGTAATACTTCTTTGGCGAAATGAAGCAACTCCAATGATGGAACACAGCAATAACTTTTATTTAACACTCAAAAAAAATGGCGACATACAAACAAGAAGAGAAAACACATTCTATCATTTAAAAATAAATTACATTCTTCGTGCGAGAGTCGCACGAGGCATTCGAGTCTGGTTTCAAATATTGCCATTCACAAATACCTTAATGTTCATCTATTTAAATTATTTAATCTACAAGATTTTAATATTATTTAAAGCTGTTACAACCTCTCCCCCAACGGAGAGACTTTTACCGAAGGGAAAAGTTCTGTAAATTTCGAAAGTTTATAAGCTCGGCTTGCTCGATTGCTTAAAGAGAAAAGGTTATTTCTCTTATAAATTTCTAAATTTCAGGCCAAAAAATTTTAAGTTTTAAACAATACTTTTACACCACATTTAAAAAGAAAGAAATGGAGAACGTTCAAATACATTAGTTGAGCATACATTAAATAATAAAATTAATTCTAAACGTGGTTACATACACTAAGAGTTACATTACTTTATTCTACTCAGAACATCTACGTTCTTGTGCAAAGATCCTTTGCGATGAATGACCTTAAAATTATAAGGTTGTAATGAGAGTGCCCAGCGCATCAATCTAGAGTTACATTTGGCGTTGGATTGTAGTCAGACCAAAGGATTATGATCAGTTTGAATCAAGAATTCTTGCTGACCATCCAGATAAAAATGCAGTTTCTTGATAGCGTAGATGATAGCAGCGCATTCCTTTTCAGTAGTACAATAATTCTTTTCAAACTTAGTAAATTTTTTGCTTATATACAAGATAGGATGTTCACGTTGTTCATCATCTAATTGGCATAGTACTATCTATACCCATGCCGTTGTCTGAGGCATCGGTTTGTATAATAAACCTTTTATCAAAATCGGGAGCATACAGAATTGGTTTCTTGCATAGCAACTCTTTTAAATTTTTAAAAGCTCTGTCACATATTTCAGACCATTGTATATTTCCTTTTTTTCTTACCCCCTTCAAAGCGTTCGTGAGGGGTGAAGCAATTTCTGAAAATCTCGGTATGTACTGGCGATAATACCCTACCAGTCCTAATAAAGCACGTACTTCTGTTTTGGTTTTAGGTGTAGGATACTCCTTTACAGCCAGGATCTTTACTTCATCCGGGGTTCGTTGTCCTTGTCCCACAACATGGCCTAGGTATCTCACTCACTTGATCTTGTGCAAATTTACATTTTGATGGTTTTAGTTAGTCGTAAATTTGCTTTCTGTATTCTTTCTAGAACAGAAGTTAAGTTTTTAAGGTGCTCTTCCCAGTTTTCTGAGTAAATGGCAATGTCATCCAGGTATGGTACAGCAAAACCTTCGCATCCAGCCAGGACTTTAGTCATAACTTTGCTAAAAAAATATGGAGCATTTTTTTAATCCAAAGGGTAAACGTAGAGGTCTGAAACTTCCAAAACTAGTTACAAACGTTGCATATCTTTGGGCTCTTTCTGTTAACGGAATTTGCCAGTAGCCTCTAGATAAATCTAATAGGGTAATATATTTTGCTTTTGCTACAGTTTCGATACGTTCTTCAATATTAAGCAAAGGATAGTATTCAGTTTTAGTAACAGCATTGAGTTTACGATAATCAATACAAGGCCGAGGATCCTTTGATGAAGATTCTATCAAAATCATGGGAGATGTATAGTCCGATTCTCCCGGCTCTATAATTTTAAGATCGAGCATTTTCTGTATTTCCTTTTTGAGAATTTCAGTCTGTCGGGGTGACAGTCTGTATGGCTTTATTTGTATTGGTTCGTTATTTAATAGCTCAACATCGTGACAAACTAAGTTTGTTAGTCCAGGATTATTTGAAAAACAACCAGAATATTTCCATAAAATCTTTCGTAAATCTTCTATTTGCTCGGATTTCAACCTTTTCTCGAGTTCATTCTCCTCTATGATGTCCGAGAAATTTAATATACTTGGATTGGAAGGTAAATGACGTATGTCCATTTCTAAGTATCCTTCCACTTCACTTATCATAGTAATCATTTCTGGTCTTTGTAATATGGTTTAAGCATGTTAATGTGATATACTTGATTTGGCTCATTTTGTTTCTCGAAACTTACAATATAATTGGTTTCTGAAATTTTCTGCTCTATTTTTCCAGGTCCTTTCCACTGTACTTCTAGTTTATTTTGACGATTCGTTGATAAAACAAGAACTAAATCTCCTCTAGCAAATTCTCTTTTCACTGCGTTTCGATTGTACCATGTTTTCCTCCGTTGTTGAGCTTCTTTCATGTTTTCCACGGCAAGTTCTTGGCATTTCTTCATTCGATTAATAAGTTCTAAACGTAACATTATTACTTTCTTCAATCGGTTCTAGCCACTGCTCATAAAGTAAAGTGACTGGCGTTCGTAGGTTTTTGCCATGAACTAATTCTGATGGTGTAAAACCAGTGCTTTCGTGTGTGACTGTTCTGAGAGCAAAAAGAACTGATGGTAGATAATTCTCCAATCCGAAGTCGCTCCTATACATACGACTCTTAACACCCTTTTTAGCGTTCTATGGAATCGCTCAACGGGATTACTCTGCGGATGATACACAGAGCTT